GATTTTTTAATATAATATCACGTGACATTATATCATTGAATTATTTTAAATACAGTTAGGTTTCCTATCAAATTATCTTCTACTAGCTCAAATTATGTCAAAACATCTGTTAAAATTTTGTGTCAAATGGCAAAACCATGGGGGAATTTAAAAGAGAGAGAACGAGGAATTCATTTGGTATCCAGTCTGTTTCTTTGACTTCCAGCCTACTCAGTTACGTATCCCAGCAATCATTTTAAATTATTGAACAAAAAAGAAGAAATTTCACAAAACTTTTTTTTGAAAAAAGGGCTATTCTAAAATAAAACCAGAAGCAATTAATCACAATCAAACGTTTGTTGTCCAGTCTGTTCATTTGACCTTTTAATCTGTCATTAAATTGCATTTAATCACCTCTTAATCCACACTCATTGCTTGTCCGATAAACATAATTGCCCTTCTTTTGAATTTTGAGTGATAATATTCTAATTAAGATACAGATAAACAGTCAGAATCACTTTGAAAAAGTCATTTTCTGGTGGGATTATAGGGAAAAAAAAAGGAAAAAAAGTAGTTGCTGCAGTTTTTTTCATTTTTACGCGTTTTATTTACTGTGTATGCAAAGGCATTACCTACTACTGATAACTCCTCCATGCCTTGTTATTAATATATCTTCATCCCAACAATTTCTTGTTCCACATCGCACATTTCCCAGAATTCCATGTGCTTTGTTGGGTTATTTTGTGTTGTGGGTTTCCCTTCAACTTCAAATTAAAGATTTCTTTTGGCATTTCTTTCAATAAAGGTGCAATTCTTGAGGGAATTTAGTGAACAATCTGAAAAGACATTTGACTTTAGGCAATGGGAGTTTAAGAGATCTGGGATTTTGAGTTTGAGTTTCTTGAGGCAATTTTGATATCTCCATTCCATCAAATAGAGGTGAAGTTTCAACACTTTTAATGTTTAACATTTTTCTTGGTTTTATGCATTTGGTATAATTATATGCAATTTCCAGTATTTAAGTTGAAAAAATAAAAGGAAAATTTTGTTCATTTGGTTCACTATATTTGTTATTGATTGCCTTTTAAGTCCTGGTATCTTGAATGAAACAATAGAACTCAGTTGAGTTGTATAAAGCTTATAGAGGTATCAGTTTTATGAATGCTTATTTTTCTATCTGGCAGGCATTTTGGGGGGCAAAATGAGTTCTGGTCTGAATTTTGGTTTGTCAAAGAAAACTCACATATTTCACCTTAAGGTGTGGGTTTTAATAGCAATCTTTTTGGGCATCTTTTCTGTATTGGTTCTCTTGCTGTTGCCGTTTTGTGTTTCGCGTAAGAAGTCGAAAAGGGGTAGCGATACACTTCCCATAAGCCAGATTCCAAATGTTTCTAAGGAAATCAAAGAGATAAGGGTCGATCAACATTTAGCCAACCACTATGTTGGCAATGGCAGGGATTTCTTCACTGTCAAGGGCAAGAACGAAAAAGATTCGGATAAGCTTTTGGCACATTTTAGCGATGAGAAGGCTAAGAAGGGTGACAGTAGCAGTCAATCCAGTTCGTTTAATTACCTGGAAAAAGATGATGCTACTCATGAATCTGGGGAGAAGAAGGGTTCTGTAGCAGTATACCAGCATTGTTCAGATCCCATCACTGTCTCTTCCCCTCTAGCTGGTATGTCCGAGCTCTCTCACCTTGGTTGGGGTCATTGGTTTACCCTGAGGGATCTAGAAATTGCAACGGGCAAGTTTTCAAGAGAAAATATTATTGGGGAGGGTGGATATGGAGTTGTCTATCGAGGCCAACTGGTCAATGGTACTTTTGTGGCCGTGAAAAGGCTCCTAAATAACTTGTAAGTTTTACAATGGATTTCATCAAACTTCTGGAGAAAAATCTCTTGTTTCTACAAGTGTGTATTGTGACATTTTTAATATATTTTTTGTAGAGGACAAGCAGAGAAGGAATTCAGGGTGGAAGTTGAGGCTATTGGTCATGTCCGGCATAAAAACTTAGTTCGGCTTTTGGGTTATTGTATTGAAGGAACCCATAGGTATTTTCCTTTATAATTCCTCTCTTTGTTTTTATAATCGTGAAAAGTTATCTTAGCTACTACACATGGTTCCATTTACCTTCTTTCTATGTAATTGATAAAAAAATAGGGTATTGGTATATGAATACGTCAATAATGGCAATCTAGAGCAGTGGCTCCATGGAGCTTTGTCTCTGCATGGATACCTCAGTTGGGAGGCTCGTATGAAGATTCTACTTGGAACAGCAAAGGCGTGAGTTCACATCTCTCTGTATTGCTAAATTTAGATTACCAGCAGGCACCCCGTTTCTTAGTATAAAATGTAACTCTTGCAGTCTTGCATATCTGCATGAGGCGATTGAGCCCAAAGTGGTGCATCGAGACATTAAGTCGAGCAATATACTAATTGATGAGGACTTCAATGCTAAAATATCAGATTTTGGCCTTGCCAAGTTGCTGGGTGCTGGAAAGAGTCATATTACTACCAGAGTTATGGGAACCTTCGGGTTAGTATTTGATATAAGGGATACATCCTATTCAATCTTGGACTAGTTTACTCTCGTTTTTGTAGAGCAGATGTTTAAAAACTTGAATTAAATTTAGAAATCTGGTCTTTTCCCTTTATGGCTGTTACCTCGGCAGGTATGTAGCTCCAGAATATGCAAACAGTGGCCTCCTAAATGAGAAGAGTGATGTTTATAGCTTTGGGGTTGTGCTTTTGGAAGCAATAACTGGCAGAGATCCCGTTGATTACAGCCGCCCTGCACCTGAGGTATGTATGTCAAAAGATCGATGTATTGTGTTACTGCAGAGGCATTAAATGTATTAATTTTCTTTAAAGTTATTGACTCTGATATTTATTCTCGAGTAATGGCAAAGAAATAATAATTCATCTAGCCTTATTTTGGAAAGTTCACGTGCAGTTGGCATTTTCCATTTGCTGCATTATTGATTAAATTCCAGTATTGTCGTTTTTGCTTTTCAAAAATTTTTGAATTCAGTTTGAGTGCTACCTACCTTACATCTAGGTTGGAACTAAAGGAAGAATAACTTGTAATGCCAATTTAAGTTTTTGGAAGCCTCATTTTCCTTAGTAGGTGAAATCTCAGATTCCATATAGTTTGCATGTTTAACAATGCCATCTTACTGTTCTTGCAGGTGAATTTGGTAGACTGGCTCAAGATGATGGTTGGAGCCAGACGATCAGAAGAAGTGGTTGATCCCAAGATTGAGACTAGACCATCAACATCTTCCCTGAAACGAGCTCTTTTGACTGCCTTAAGGTGTGTTGATCCTGACTCTAACAAAAGGCCATCAATGAGTCAAGTTGTGCGGATGCTTGAGTCTGAAGAATATCCAGTGCCACGAGAGGTTGGTTTTTCACTTGATCAAAATCCATATCAAGTCATCAAATGTTTGTGATTGTTAGCTTACTGAATGATGCTTGCTTGGTTAAAGGTTGTTATCTAACATCATATCGTCAACCTACAGGGTCGTGAAAGGAGGAAGAATCAATCAATTGACAATCAGAAGGAGAATTCTGATACAGATAGGAAGGACAATCAAAATTTGAGGTCGAAAAGTAAAAGTAACAGTCGAGCATAGCCAAGTGGGCAGATGCGCAAAAGTGATTTATAGGTTTAGGGATTAGGGAAAGGGTAAATGTTTACAAAATACAACATGATGAGATAAAGTTTGTGCAGTTTCTTTTTATTTTCCACTTTTCACCTTAATATGTGCATCTGAACAGAGGGATATGAATATATTCACTTTGATTGAACAAGGATGTAAAGGATTGGTGTTTGATGACATTGGATTTTTGTCCAGGTTTTCACTTTGGTGTGATGAGTTTATTTTCTGCTATAACATGGGTGCTGTCATACACCGTATTATGCCTTGAGCTCTAGTCGAGATGAGGCACTGGGGACGAGAGTATAATGCTACAGAAATGTTCAAAAAATGTGTTTTTCTTTTGGATATCCTTCGACTGAATCCATTACCAACGGGTATCAGCCTCGCTCACCAACTATTAATGATATTACAAGCAAATTTTCTTAATATTTATGAAGACAAATTTCTGAAATCTGATCCATTATGTGGTAACATGTCCAATTTGACTCCAGCAATTTGCTGAAGAAGTTGAAAGATAGTGGAGAGCCTTTAGCACAAGTTGCTCGCTAATGTGAGAAATAGGTTTAGAGTATCTTTATTAACCTCATTTCCTCTATTTTAGAGAGTCGAATATATTTTTGAAGTGTTCAATACATTCGTTATCTTAAACGTTAAAATGAAGAGTGAATTTGACTCTTCAAATGTAGAGAGCCAAATTCACCCTCTATACAATGCTTCATTTATTGTTGTGCAATTTTCTATTCATTTCTTTGATTTCTACGAAAATAGAGAAAAGGAAGTGATATAACTTAAAGAAGAGGGAAAATGATGAACAGTTGTTGCTTATGAAAAAACAAAATACTGAATGATTATAGAGAGTGCTATTGGAGTTGTGTAAAAAGTTTGACTCTTTATTTTATAAATTCCTTAAGGGTGTCAAGAGTAAAGTCTGAAAATAATGACTAACATACAAAAATTTTCTTTTTAAAATGGAATGCCACCCAAGTTCAATTCAATTTGTCTAAAAGCTCAAACTAATAGTCGAATTTCAAGATTGGTATTTACCTCCAAATCTGATTTATCTAGCTGCTAACAGATTTCTTGTGACATCTTCATCCACCCACTTGGACACTAGTCAGAATACAAGGCCACTATCTTAGGGGTACTCGAGCGACTTTGACGTTTGACTATCTTTGATTATGTACCTTTAGTAACCGTTACTATACACTGGCAGCATTCCTTTTGCCTCAAGAATCTCATATCGTTCCTTGAGCCTTCTTAAATGAGGAAAGGTTTGCACGGGATATTCCCATTTAGAAAGATCTTTTTGATCCTCGTTGTAACCATTAGAATCAGTATCAGAGATGGAAGGGTCTTTTTTAAGGCAAGGTTATTCGCGAAGTGGCCAGGTCGGACCTAGTACAGAGTTCGTCAAAAGACGAAACACTGTTGAGGGGGTCTTCTTTCACAGCTGGGAGTGCAAACCTGCCGTTTGGTTCGTGTAAGGCTTTGCGGTTCATGTGAGCCTTCCACATTGTTCGTGGTGACTTGGCAGTCCTGTCTTACACGGTGTCTCTATTCCTATGTGGCATCCACGTATGATGAATGCATAACAATTTGTGTTCTTAAATGAGTCACAATCTCAATAATAACCAACTTTTAAGGGTTTAAGTTGCCCGTATTAACGTGAACTTATAAGATGAACCACAATACTCAATATTATAACATACCAAGTTGTGGCAACTCTTTTCCCTCCTCTACAAACAATGATGAATCACATCACAATTACTCCAGCATAGTCAAGCTTATTGTGCAGGGTGAAAAACATCATGGTTTTCATGCATCAACTCAGAATTTCAATCTCGATCAATTTATGCTGCGAGAAAATGCTTTTTCCAGTTTATTCTTAGAATGGGATAGAAATTTAACCAGACCCCAGCAATAAGAGAAACATGTGGTGGATATGGAGACTGGATCGATAGATATTATAAAGCAGATTCTTTTCTAAATCTTCTCAATTTGTCATTCTGGTGATGCAATGCTTGATCCAGCTAATGCTTCAAATTATGAACCAATTAGCTCCATTGAAGGAAAAAATGTGCAATTTACCCTAAATTTTTTTGCATACCATTTATAGATAAGGTTCTGGGCTAACAGAATTATGAATTTCTTTATAAATTTGATCAAACGATGAAGAGAGCTGACACAGCATAATCTGTATTCATCTCTACTTCAGTTACACCAAAAAGAAACATTAATGTATTCTTTAATTGTAAAAGGAAAGAAAACTAAAATATTGTCGAGCAAGACAAAAACCGGTGGCTAGATTTCTGGATAGATAACCGACAGGCTGCACTCAGTTTTTGAGATGGATAAGTGTTAATTAAGCTTGACTTTTGTCCCACTTGAGAGGCTTGATCACTTCCCATGTGAAATCAGGGTCATCTCTGCCAAAATGCCCATAAGCAGCAGTCTTCAAGAACCTGTGATTGCCACCCCTCTTAAGATCCAGGTTTATGGATATCATACCGGGCCTGAAATCGAAGCTCTCCTTCACAATCTTGAGAATTTCCTTGTCCGGTATCTTTCCAGTACCATATGTGTCTACAAACACTGACAAAGGCTCAGGAACACCAATGGCATACGAAACCTGCACAATGCACCTCCTAGCAAGTTCACTAGCAACGATGCTCTTTGCAGCCTGTCTAACAATGTAGGCACCACTCCTGTCCACTTTGGTGGGATCTTTGCCAGAGAAGGCACCACCACCGTGAGCACCCCATCCTCCATAAGTGTCGATAATGATCTTGCGACCGGTGAGACCAGCATCACCATGAGGTCCACCAATGACAAAGCGGCCAGAAGGATTCAAGTGGAATATAGTCTTCTCGTCGAGGTACTTCTCAGGAATGACAGGCTTGATCACATGCTCCTTGAGATCAGCAGCGATTTCATCATTTGTAACAGTCTCATCGTGCTGTGTGGAGATGAGGACTGTGTGTACACGGATCGGAACCATGGCACCCTTGTCATTGTAGTACTCAACTGTCACTTGGGTTTTGCCATCAGGTCTCAGCCAAGGGCAAGTACCATTCTTGCGAACTTCAGTGAGACGAGCACCAAGCTTTGTTGCGAGGACATGGCTGAGAGGCATCAATTCAGGGGTCTCATCAGTGGCATAACCAAACATATGGCCCTGGTCACCAGCACCAATTTCCTCGGGACGCTTAGTGAGGTGACCATGGACACCCTGAGCAATATCAGGGCTCTGCTGCTCAATGTTAACAAGAACCTTGCATTTGTCTGCATCCAAACCCACATCATCTGATACAAAACCAATGGCACGGCAAGTATCACGCACAATTTTCTCGTAATCTACATCAGCCTTGGTGGTGATCTCACCAAAGACCATGACCATGTTAGTCTTCGTGCACGTCTCACATGCCACCTTGCTATCAGGGTCATGCGCGAGGCAGGCATCGAGAACGGCATCAGAGATCTGATCACAGAGCTTATCAGGGTGTCCCTCATTAACTGACTCAGACGTGAACAAGAAAGTCTCCATCTCTATCGAGCTGCACACCAAAAAATTAATAAATACACTATATTCCCTCCAATTGGCTCAAGGATGTAATCACACCAAGAAAGAACTACAGATCTATAAAAACCAAGTTTAAGCTACATTTAATCATTACTTTGAACATGTAAAATTCAAGAATTCTCCTCCAAAACTTAACCTTTATTAAAAATCATTTACAGCAATTCAAACAGACCCAAAAGCCCAATTCAAGAAATTAAGTTAAATTCAAAAGAACCCACCAATTAAAGAAACATACTTAGCCGTTGTTTTGTACTGCTAAAAAATTCGATTAAAATCTAAATCAAAGTCAAAAATTAATTTTAACACATATTTCATGCACCAACAACTTTTCAACTATACATTTCTTCATTTTTTATCAAAATTTACTAAAAATCTGATTTTAATAAATATGACGTACACGGACACACACATAGAGAGACAAGGAGAAGGGATCTGGCAGGAAACGGTACCTTGAAGTATAGCGCAGGGAAACAGAGAAATGTTAAATGGCGAGGGAATATGGTGGCGCAGAGTATACATTTATAGTGTGTAGTTGGGATTTAGATCCACGGCTGAGGTTGCTCGGAAATTATTAAATAAATATGAACCGTTTAGATGCATGGGAATTTTGGTGGGATATTGACGTGGGATGACTGGTGATAGCCGGTAACTCACCAACCCCATCCCGTTTTCGGCTATTATGGAAATATATCTTAGAAAATAAAATATTATTAAACATATTTTTAAAAGTTGAAAAATGTTTTTATGAAAAAAAATAACAATTAAACACTTTAAAGTAGAAATTTGAGACATTTTTCATAAAAAATAAATGCATCAAACTCACCAAATTGCATTTATTTCATTATTTTCATTTTTTTTTTTTGGGTCAAAAGGTTGTGTGAAATTGACCGTCCACGTTTTCGTGTTAATAGAGGAGATTGTTTTCTCAAGGGTAAATTTATTTGTGGTCACTGAATTTTCAACAAAATCTCAATTGAGTCATTGAACTTCATTTTAGTTTAAAATGAGTCACTAAACATCCATTTGATTTCAAATTTCATCCCTATGTCAATCCTCGTGTCCCAATTTGATAAAAAATACTTGATAGACCGATATATTGAAACACACCTTCTATTCAATCAATGTGTCACATGCTAACTTTTCATTATGTCATATCATAAATGTGTTAAAATAAAAAACAAACATGATTTTTCAATTGTTAAATTTAAAAATTGCCATAACTCTCATCTTATTATTTTCGTTTCCAGAGTACCACCTAACAATTATGTAGAATATCAATTACATTTTGGGTAAAACATCCAACATAGCAATGAAAGGGACAATGGGTGAGAGCGTGTGGACACTGTACTTAGTGTGTGTTTGATGAATATTATTGAGAAAATAATGTATTTTAAATAATGATATGATGAGAAATATGTGATTAAAAAGTCAGGAAAAGTTATTGATGTGATGGAAAATATTATTTTTTTTTAAAAATGTGTGATTGAAAATGAGTTTTGAAAAAATGTATTTTAAAAAAATATGTACCAAACAAGAGCCTGGTAGTGAAATGTGAAACTATAGTGACCCAATTACTATAAGACTCTATTTGATTGTCACATTTTTTATGAAAAATCTCACATTCGAGGAAAACGAATTTCACTTTAACCTTTTGATTGCAACATAGAAATAAAAATCGAATTTCAAAGTACAACTACTTTAAGTTGCATTTTCTTGGTCAAAAGTTGTAAGAGTGTGTTTGATTGACTTTATTTTCCATGAAAAATATTATATTTCCAACGAAATTCGTACTTTTAGATTGTTTGATTAATATTTTTTTTAATGAAAAATATTTTTCAGTTTTTGATCATGTGACAATATTTTCCTTTAAAACAAGAAAAAACATTTTTTTAGGAAGTATTTTTTATTTTCCAGGTAATTAATTCACTCTCTATTGCTCTGTATCATCTATCCACTATCTCTCATCTACTCACAAATAAAAAAAATGGACAGGTATAATTTATTTTAAGTTGAAAACTAAATCAATCAAAGACATTAAATTAATAAGTTCCATACAAATATGTTCTAGGCTATTGAATTGGCTAAAATTTATTTTCTTTCCATACAAATTCTATACTCGTAATGAAACGCATCCTAAATGTAAATCGACCATCCATGTTTTCCTTACGAGATGCGATTGGATTTCCTTCACATTATCACCATAATCATCATCATCATCATTATTTATTTAATAACAATACTACGATGTGATATTTTGACAACTTTGTCTAATTTTATCTTTTTTCCATTTTAAATAATTTAAATGTGTTAGGTCTAAGTTTAAAATTGTTTCAAAAAATGGAAAAAAAATTATTAACCAAATCCAATCTACTAAAATGATGCAAAGAATCCACGTGTAACTAGAGAAAAAGATTATCAAGCAAAATATTGAAAAATAAATATTTGATAAATTAGTAACCTCATTTAAATAACGAGTATTTTCAATCTCAACTCAAATTTATGTACAAAAATTTTATGATATTAGGTCCATGTTTAGTAGATTTTCATTAAAATTCATTTTCCTTCAAATTTATTTTCAATTATACATTTCTTCAATAAATAAAATTTACAATCAAATTTGTATCACTTCCTTACTTTTTATCACACATCCTTAAAAGGAAAATAATTTTCACATAATTTGTTCTTAAAAATACATCCAGGTGTGGGTTGCTTATTTTCTTTGACTTTTTAGGTCTTAGGTGGATGGGGTTGGTGAGGTTGGTGGGTGAGTGGTTGGACTATGGATTGCTTAATTTCTTTGACTTTAGACATCATCTTGCGCTCAACATGTAAATCTTATTTTACATTATTTTTGACTCAAGATTGAACAATATTATTTTTTTATTTAAAAAAAAAAAACACACTTTCCCACGCTAATACTCTTTGGATTTTCACACAATGTACACCCAAATGTAAACCATGTAATATACATTCAACATAATTCTTTTGTTATATATATATTTGACACTATTTTAGAGAAATCAATTAATGTCTTGTTCGTGCAAACTTAAAGTGAAAACATTAAGCGTAAAAAGCATTTATATCGATATCATCACAAGAGTCAGAAAGAATTTAAAAGACTTGCATTCGTCTTTGAACCATGCTTGGCTACCAGAAGGAGGTTCACAGGGGGGTGGGGTGGGGTGGTTGGTTTTGTCAGTTTGTCATGGGAAACTGGACTTAGCACCGTATATTTTAAACGTCGTGAGTAGGAACTGAAAATATTATTAAATTCTCCAGTTATATGAGGTGAGGTGGGAACAGATTGACCTCTTCTCTAGTTATATGCTATTTGTAATTTTTATTCAGAAAAGAATGTGTGCTTTTTGTTCCCATCTTCTTTTCTACAGATAAGGAAACCATTCTCCATAATGTCTGATGCAGGACAAACTCGAAGCATTCAACATATAACCGAATTATAATGCAACATAGATTGACTAACCAGTAGAAGAAACAGAGTAGAAATAGAATAAGAAGAGAAGAAGAAGAACCGAGAAGAGGATACAGGGAGGAAGAGGGAGAAAATGGGCTGTAAGCCACTATTCAATTCATCAAATTCATCGACCGCCTAAATTATAATATGAAAACCATATTAATAGTAAAAACCCTAGCTAAGTGACAGGTTTGGGTCAACCCATTACTACAAATCCAATAACAATAAAAATAGAAAACATAAATGATAAAGCTCAATAACAATAAAATTTAGTCTCAACTAATAAAGTCCAATAACATTAAAATTAAGTTTTGAAGGTGTCCGCATCTCGACCATGTCGAGTGGATAAACTTTTACCATGGGAGACGATCCTTCATAAGAACCAAATATCGAAACTCCAGCAGTTTGATCCAGATTTGCTGGAGCTTCTCTGTAGGACTACATGGACAGTCTGCAAAAGATGAAACTACCCAACGCGAAAGGAAGCACTAAATCTCTCCATCATTGGTCAACACAATCAGTTCATCTAAAATAAAATCGATTGTATCTTTGTGTACTGTAACAGATGGTACTGAAGTAGAAATATTAAGATGAACAGGTTGGGGGTCCACAAAGCTAAATAGAAAAGGATCATTAAAGAACTTGAAATGGTATTTCTAAGTAATGAAGTCCTTAATATTTAAAGTAGAATGGTAGCTAAAATATGATAAAAGATCAATGACATATGTATTTAGACCAACAAGCTTCAAAATTTTAAAAATACCAGCACTGCGATTAGGATCTGCCTAGTTGATGAGTGGAAGACTGCTTTTAAAACAAAAGATGGTCTNATGAGTGGAAGACTGCTTTTAAAATAAAAGATGGTCTTTATGAGTGGTTAGTTATGCCTTTCGGCCTAACCAATGCCCGAGTACTTTTGTGCGAACAATGACACAAACTCTTCGTCCTTTCTTGGGTAAGTTCATTGTCGTCTACTTAGACGACGTTCTCGTCTATAGTACAACGAAGGAACAATGTCGAGATAATCTCAAGCAGGTTGTTCAGCCTTTCAGGCAACAAAATTGTATGCTAACATCAAGAAATGTGCTCCTCACCGATAGAGTCGGTTTCCTAGGTTTCATTGTATCCTCTACATGGGTATATGCCAATCCTGCCAAAATTCAGGTGATTGTTGATTAGCCCGAGCCTAATAATGTACATGATGTCGGAGTTTTCATGGCCTATCTATCTTTTACCGTCATTTCATCAAGGAGTTTAGCATAATCATGGCTCCCATTATGCAGTGCATGAAGAAATGAGAGTTTCATTGGACACAGGAAAAGACTAAGGCTTTTAAACT